TAACACAATCGCACGTAGCCGTGTTTTAAGTGCTACTTAGCAGTCGCTATCCGTTTGTCAAGTGCTGAAATGTCACCTTATAGAATGGCTCGTAATTGTAGTACACGCTCGTTTATTGAAATGTTAACCTAATGCTGCATTCCAGACAGCTCGGATAAAATAACTATAATATAAAACTATACTATTATTATAAAAAAATATTATTATATTATATTATACTTTACATAATAATAATAATTTTTTAGATATATATAGATAATTATTATAGCACTACAGTATATAATATAGAGACGTTATTTCCGGGTCCAATACATTGCTGGTTTTCGTGCAGGTCAGCAAGTCATTTACAAGTCAATCACATGATTTTCAAGTGCTACTTAAGTTACAATGCTTTTGGGAAACAGACTGTAATATTAAGATCAGTCGTACGATCGTTTTTACGAACTTCTTAGGCTTACAAAGCTTTTGGGAAACGCAGCCCTGGCCTGTAAATTACATTTAAAAAATCCATGACTTGGAAGCCTTGACTTTAGGCACAATTCTACAATCACTTCAAACTTTTTGTTGACAGTCCAGCCAACAATTTGCAGAGAATTACGTGTATATCAAATACTGAGTACCCTATTAAAAAGCGTTTATTGGGGCTGCTTGGCTGGCAAAGCGAGCACATGTAAGTGTTTAATGAGACTATGGGTTATTTTCTACAGAGATGAAAACAAATAAAACTCAGAAATGTTGAGGGTCAGGGCAAAGGAACAGGGATTCAACAAGATAAACATTTGCAACTGTTGCTTCCTCTGCACTGGCATTCCATCCACCCTCTCTCGGGAGATGCTGGAACAGTCCAATCTGGCGTAGGCGGAGCAGTGTGTAAGCCTAGTGATGTCCGACATGTTTTTCCCTCCAATTGGACCTCTTCCATCCTCCTTCTCCCCACTCACTCTCTCTCACACCCATCACTACATGTGCAGTTTCCAAGAATTAGACGGACAATCCACACACATGAAACTTTCACGGGCAGACTCAAGGAGCAGGGCAGGCTTGAGAGATATGCACTGCACATGAGTCACTTGAGGAATTTCTTTCACTATCAGAGGGTGTGATAACACTGATTACAGAACACAAATGTTGGTGTATTAACTTCATAAAGTACATAAGGATAGTGTATGTATTTAAAGACATCAAAATTTGAGTTTTATGGCTCTTAAGACCCGGATATACTTCATTGTCTGTGTTGAGCATGTAAGCCTTTCAAAGTACAGTTCAGTTGACCGTGAGCACACGGATGTACGCATCTGACACATGTGCACAACTTAGTGGACCTTTGTTTTTGAATGCTACATGAACACAAAAGTTGGGCTACATGCAGACGGTGTGCATGGAGCTCAGCAAACTGTGCTGCTGATGAAAATGAAATGCCATATGGACTGTCCGTGAGCCGGAGCATAACACAGGCAAGAAAAGTATACTTTGGGTATTAGTCCATGTCTGTTATCTCTCGCAGCATCTACGTATATGCTAATGAACTCCTAGTTGACAAAATTCATATCTACTAGATACACATGTAAAATTTAAAGTCTTTCTCTTCTGTGAAAATGTACAAAAATATTGATTATTTGTCCTGCACTATACAGATTTTTGTCTGTTTGCAGATTTGTATACAAAAATAATATAGTTTAAAAGAATATACTTCAATGCTAAGTAAATATAATGTTTTCGGACACTTAATTATATGTTATTTGACTGTATTATAGATTAATTTTTAAATATTAAATTAGCTGAACTTAAGTGCTTTTTGACCTACTTAAGTAGGACTTAAGTATATATATGTATATGTAATTTCTAATGACTTCTATTGTCTTTGAAATATGATTAAAGTGTACTGCCAAATGTACTGCCAAGAATTTTCACATTTGTAATAAAAATAATTACAAATGCACATTCAGTACAAAAGTGCACAATAGATAGATGGATATCAGTTTTGCATTGCAAATGTAAGTTATGCATTTATGTCAAGTGTAAATGTAATGTGCATTATTGGATCCAATTCAATACCAATGTCACTGATCAAAAGCGATGCAAAGAAATGTAAATAGGACATCGGATTCATCTTTCGGGGGTGTATTGGGTGCACACTGTGGTTTTGGCTTATGGCTGTGATTTTGGTTGTGGAGTTTGCACAACTTAGGTTTACTGAGTTCACCTTCATTTATGTACTTTGCCTGTTTCTGCACTGCATTCAAGTGGAGAATCTCAACTGTGCTAGCATCCTAATGAAGTGAGTTAACTACAGGAAGTGTGCTAGGGACAGTCCCACTAATCTGATATGAACTGGAGACACATGAGACCATACTAACTTTATGAGAGTCAAAATTGAAAACAAGCTTGGAAAAACATAGTATTCAATGGAAACCTTCCAGATCACTGGCCTTCCATTAATGTACAAATATAGATGAGGAAGAAGGTTTTCTGAATAAATAAACTGGGGATGTAGGCTATTTCTGTGCCACTGAAATAGACAGACGTGCATAGATAATATAAACAAATATTTGTTTGCTAGGAATATCATTCATCCCTTCTATTTGCAAGAAACTGTTGCAAATGTGACATTCCAATCTTTAGTCGTCATAAACTTCTTTTTAACAAATATTTAGAGATCTCTCAAGAGAGAAAACAAACACATGATTTATGCTGGATCACACCATACAACTAATGCTGCGAAGATTTAGAGAGGATTTTGCAATACGTTCTTTTCAATCCATTTCACCTAATAGTCTATGCCAATTTACTGTGTTCAAGATGTCTTTCCTTTCCTTTACAGGATTATCATGACTTGTCCAGTTGTTTGTAATTATAAAGGTTTATATATATATATATATATATAGAGAGAGAGAGAGAGAGAGAGAGAGAGAGAGAGAGAGAGAGAGAGATAGATAGATAGATAGATAGATAGATAGATAGATAGATAGATAGATAGATAGAACTCAGCAATTAAACACATTTTAAGAATTTTAATTTTTATATACTTCCAGATGTGTTCAATGAGCATGGAAACCTGGTCTCCAAAACAAGCCAACAACAACAAATGGTTACACCTTTTGGTATTTGCTTCACACAATTCAGAGCAAAAACATTATTGTTCTCAGGGTTATTGTTGTTGTAGTTGTTTAAACAGTGTTCACAAGCCTGACTTTTACACCACTCACAAATGGCATCAATTACAATCTACGGCTGAGGTGACAGAGAGAGGTGGCTGCGGGTGGCATGTGATTGGTGTTGCACCAAGAAGTGCTGAGATATTACAGAGTCAGTTTCAATTCATGCCAGAGAACAATCTGGAGTAAATAGCTTATCCAGTATACTGTAGCTATGTGACATACCAGTTAAAATCAAACTAGTTTGGATTGCTTGTAGTAATGTGATAATCTATCAACAAATTCCACTGGAATACAGTTGGAAGGCATGTTGTGGTATTTTGGTATACGGTTGTTCTTCATACAGATATACTCCTGCAAATATCTGCATCAGTGGTAGCTTATTCATTCAACAGATGTGCCATACATTCAGAAATTACACAGAATCACCAGATGTAACGACTTTGTGAATTCATCATCGTCACAATAAATCATCCTGCTAGGTCTTATCACCCAGACACCTGTCACTTCCCGAATCCTCGCTCTGCACGTGCTTCACACTGGAGCCCCGTCCACGGCCACTCCCCCAATAAAAACACATGTCCAGTATAGCTCTCTCAGATTAATGCATTTATATCCTAATGCAACAACATGCAGGAGAAAACTTCTGCTTGGGTAAAAAAATGTATCTCATTCATACGTTATACTGATTTCATAGATGAGTGGTAAAATGCCTTTAAGAAATAGAACACAAAGTCCAGATAATTGAGAATAAGTTTACAGAAGTTTGTGTTAAGCATAGCAGTGTGCACACAAGCGTACAACACACCGAAAGAAGAAGCCAAGTGTGTCTGCTGTTTCCCACAGTCTAGCCAAAGAAAAAGTTAGATTCAGACAAACATGGTTTCCAAAAACAGTCTCACCGTGACAGTGCTGAGGCGGGACAGGGTAACACATTCTGTTTGTATTTCATAGTACAACAGTGAAATACTATAAAAATGGCTCGTTTCAGGTCAAGTGTCACAAACAGATCAAATGCAGGTGTTACTGGTGTAACATTAATGTCTTATTAAATGTGTATTCCATTCTATTGTGTTCTACTGCACAATGCATTTTTTTTCACAATGCATTTAATTTAATTACATTTTTAATAACATTACTGGAACCCTATTTTGTTTTATTTTATTGTTTTGTATTTTCCCCCCAGTCTCTGGTTGTATTTGTTTTGGCATTATTTTATCTCAAACAATCATTCCAATAAAGTACTTTGACATTGAACTGAGAGGGTGGGGTATGGGTAACACAACACTCAGACGAGACCAAGAGAGGAGTGGCAAATATAAACTGCAGAGAAAAGCCAAAGCACAAATTTACTTCATGACAATACATCAAGATATTAAGGCATCATATAAGATCTAAGGAAACCATCTCGTCAAATTCGAATCTGTATCAAATTGCTAAACTAATAAGTCTACCAAACCACCAAAAGTGCATGAATCTACTAAACTGTCAAAACAATTGTCGTGCTATAAATTGTATTAATATTGGCTACATAATGCCTTTGACAATTATGTAGAAACCAATGTCCATTATTTTAGTTACAGCATAAGACGTAGGCTATTCATATCTTTCGGTTTGCTTCTGTAATTTGCATTTTGGTTTGTTGTTTGCTATTTCAAATCGTTAGATACACTTAAGTTATATCCCAGCCTTTAACTTCGTCTCGAAATATTCTCATGTTTAATCTAAAGTGGAACCTGAGCGCAAGCGACACTAGCGTATAACGGTACTCCTTATGTCCAAACCGACGACATTCCTAATAAAACGCATATAACTTAACATTACTTAGTTTTTAGTTGGACTTACCTTAGCTGTACCCTTGTCTATGCTCAAAGAGACCGTGAGAAGAAAAACGGTGAAGCATGGAAGCCGCATCTTCACACTATGAATAATGTCCAAAAGGACTCGCTGCTGACGGATTCTTCCCCGTTTCAAGCTATTTTTGCCTCTCTTCTTCCCGAGCTTGAACTATACGTTTGTCTGCATCTTTGCTCTAAACGTTATGTGGCTGTTGTTGAAAGTAATGTCTTGTAGAAGAGCCCACCACACCCCCTGTCAGGACCACGACCACCCATCAATACGCACCGACACAACCCTGTTTAGAACAACTATCACTCGCGTTTCAGCATTGTTAGGGGAATTTTAAGTCTTGGAGATAAGTAATTCTCTTACAACCGCTTTGGCAAGGTGGATTTTAGGTGAGACAACCAACTTTCCCAAAGCGCAAACTCATCGGGGTTGCGCGCTTGAGACTGGAGCGTGCGCGATCTGAGGTAAACTTCTGCCGTCACTTCACCTTCAATAATGGACAAGAGGTAGTTTAAGATTAAAAAATATCAAGTTTAAATGTGTGCTTTTGTGACTAAACACTTTTGAATAATAACAAAACAGACTGTTTGACGCATTACCAAATGGTACCAAATGGTAGCTGTGTTTTTGGAACATGTTAGCTATAAGAAACGACTAGTAACTATTAGTTTGATCGCCCTGAACTAGTGTGTTCCTTGCTGGACCATGAAGGTCTTTAAGCTAATGACAGGTTGGACCAGATAGAAACCAGTTAGCATGTTCCAAAACACAACTGCCGGCTTATGGATCTATTAGCAAGGAACATGAGATCTACAAAGATACCAGTAGGCCTACATATAATTTAAATAGGAACAGTGAGAATTAGTTTGTAACTTTCAGATCATAAATCTGTAACTTTCAGATCATTGAGTATGCAGTAACAATATACTGGAATTGAGCAAAAGGAGAGATTTCATCTGTTTTCTGGCTCACATGGAGGGTGAGAACCATCTACAGCACTGGAACACATTAAGGTAAATCTGTTGTTTCTTTGTATTGTAGAAGCATGTGTTTTCCCTTTGCACACATATTCAGGCACTATTTTTTCATATTGCAGGTGTTTTCTGTTGTTCTTTGCAGTCCTTATCCTTACAACAGAGGTCAACGCAGTAAGTGTGCTTTTCATTTTACTATATTAAGTGGACAAAATTAAGTACAGATTGTGGTGTCGGATTTGTGCCTAATTTATGGTCCTACACACTGAACGGAACCTTAAGATGAGTGGCAGTGACCTTGTTTGTATTACAAGTTCCTCATTTGCAATTCACAAATATTTGCCATTTACAGATCTTTTCAGTGTGCATGTTCCTTTCATTCAAAGCTTGTTTTATTTTAAAGTCACATTTAATTTCTCCCATGGTTGTTGGTGGTAATTTAACCAACTGGTATCCCATAGTGAGAGATTAAACACTGGCCTGAAGTTAATGAGGAAAATGTGTTTGGAGTCTGTGAGTGGTTATGTTTTAATACTTACAAACTGACAGTATGTGTGTACATTTTTTATTTGTTTTTCAATGATGCCACCTAATGCTGGTGTTAATTTGGAAAACTATTTAAGGTGAATAATGCTGCATTGGGGTGAACTGTTCATGAACTGGATTCAAATTTCTAGAATCTCAATGTTAATGTTAAAAAGCAAATTTCCAAGAAGACAGGGTTGTTAAAAGTTGTGATTAAATGGAAATAGTGACAGATCTTTACTTTATTATATTGTGATGTACTGTATATCCCAGTATATAATGGATTGTTGAAAAAGAAAACCTGTAGGATGGGGATTGGTTTTATGCATCGGTTATTGATTGGATGTTGAGATGCAAGCTTTAAAGGAATAGTTCACCCAAAAATGAAAATTTGTGAACGTTTACTCACCCTCAGGCCATCCAAGATGTAGATGGATTTGTTTCTTCTTCAGATTTGGTCAAATTTAGCTTTACCACTGGACAGCAGTCTTCACGTGAGTTCTGATGAGTGTGTGAACTCCTCTTACAGTCTGAGGATGATTTCAACATGAGAAGATTTTTCTTTTCCTGATTCACATGCTGATATGTGTTTCTGGCAACTGACCATCACCAGCAGCAAACACAGCAAGTTCAAAAGGGCTGATAGTTTGCCAGCCGCCTGTAAAAGCTCCTTCAGCTCTAACCTCATTCTTTTAGCTGTAGATCTAGCTGTGGTATGCATCTTGGCACCTTGTTTTTTGAAGAAGATATTGCATACTGTATAAGGTGATTTTATAATAATATTTAAATCTCATAATTCCACTAACTCAGTTTAAAAGACAAGTATATAATCATTCAGTCACTCTCATGGTATTCTATACTTTAGTTTGGTCTCATGTTGCAGTCAGGTCTATTCCAAGGTTGTCTGCTAATACAAATGTTCATTTTGAACAGTAAGTGCATCTGAAATGGCAGTTTGCACTTAAAGAGATTGTGATGCAGTCAGTGAAAGGTTTTCTTTCAGAAAATGCTGTTTTCACTCTTTTTTTACATTACAAGTTTTACATGGTTTTAACAACACAGCAAAATGAAGTTTTTCTGCCACTAATTTCCACTAAACTAATTTCACTGAATAGAAGCATCCTTGTCTGAAGCCTTATCAGATTTTGTACCTCCCTGATCAAAAACTTGTGACAGCAGTAGGCTGAGGCTGTGCATTTTACTGGTACAAGGAGTGTAGTGATTTCAGGTTTCATGCAGGCCAAGCTATTTTTAGACAGGCAATGATCCGGCCTGCAGGGTATGGTCATTGTAGGTGACCTCACTTGGGCAGCAAAAAAATATATGTTGCATGATGAAGAAAGTTAGAGATCCTAAACACAGTTTTGCACATTTTGGAAGTTTTCCAGTCTAAATCTAACACGATCATGCCCATAAACACATTGAGTCTCTGACTTTGAGCCTTTTGCAATTCAAGGCCAAATGCACAATTATCCAAAATTGACCTAAATTTGTCTTAATTGTATTTGAGAGCTGGATATTATTATTTCCATGTGTAATGGAGGCCAGCTGGTATGAGATTTGTGCAGGTAAAACAGATGTATCTGCATTTATCTCAGTAATTATGCTATTAGCCTTCCAAACACATATGATTAATGATTTAATTAAAGATCTGACATGATATATCAATGCTCAGATCTGTCATTTGAAAAGCATTTTGAGCTATTTTACAGCATTACATACCCTTAAATATTTTATGCCATAGTGTTGTCATGGATATTCAGCACTTTATTTGACCCCTTTGTTCTAATGGAAACACTTTATGAATAGCATTTTGGGAAGGGATGGAAAAGTTTGATTGTCAGGAAGTTCAAAGTACGGTAATTTGAAGCACCTTTTGTTTGTTTTTGTGTGGGAAGATTTTACAATATTATGTTCATCCCTTGAGGTCAATTACTGGCTCTTGTTGTTTGACCTATGTTTGGATAGAAAATCAAAGAAAGTAAAATAGTTGCTGCCTAAAAATGTCAATAAAAGTGCCGCAATGATATACTAGTTAATTTTGCAATAGAGCTTTTTAAAAAATATTTGCATAGTTATTGTCAATAATTGTCTTCTGTTGGAAATTCCTTTGACCATATAAGGGAAGAGGAAATGGATGTGGTCACAGGGTGGTTCCTGAGGTTGTACATGAGGATAAGAGTGCACGTGAAGTAAGTGTGTGCACTCTATGCTGGTTTGAATGGGTGGACCAGCACTGCACAAAAGATGTCTGTTGGTGATAAGGACAGGAAAAACGCTGCTACATCACCTGCCAAAATAATCTGCTTGGTCAAAAAAGCAAAACAATTGGGGGAAAATCTATTGTGTTCCATTAGAGGGATCGAGACAGGATGTAAAATTGTTCCGAGGGGAAGAAGCTCTCAGCCCGAGTGACACTGCAAGTAGCACAGCCTTTGACATTTTTGGGATGTGTTGGTTTTGTAGCAGATGTACATTCTTTAGATCTACATAGTGTATGCAACTGTGTGAGTATGAAGTTGGCTGTATGTTGGCCCACACTGAAGGGGTAGTTCCCACAAATAAGTTGCAGTGGCTCCACCCATCTCCTGTGTCAAATAGCGACCCTCTTGACCTTAGGCTGGTATGAAGTTTGTGTCTCGTGTGAACTTTCCCCAAAGCTGGGAAAGAGCAACACGCACAAAACAGTAAAATACACTTTACATTTTTTTATAATATAGCACAACGGAACAAAAAAACTGATGTTTAATCTTCTTTTTTTGCAAGTTAGGAGGCTTGTTGGTGTTAAATTGCTAAATACCATGTCCTACTATGACTAATCCATAAGATTCTAACAATGTAAATCTGTGTTTCTGTTCCAAACAACCTAAATGAGTTATATCTTGTTGACATCAAAATATGGTCTGATTGGCTGTGATTGTGTCATGCTGCACAGCATTTTCATCTTCAGTGCGGACACAAATTGCTTGCCACTAGAAATGTAAGTAAAACGAAACTAGCGAAAGGTAAACTTAACTTAAGTAAATCCTTATGAAAAAAAGAGAGCTTAATTGTATTGAATGTGCACTTGTAGTGTTCTTCAAATCTAGTATATTAAAAAAACGTGTACTTGCATATAATGTAATGTAAATAAATAAAAGGCCACTTAAGTGTACTTAGAGTACACTTTCATGATAGTTTCTTAACACATTTACTGCAAGTACACTTAAGTAAAAAAAATAAGTGTCAAATTAAGTTGTACTTTAAAGTAAATTTTAAATCATTGTTTTAATAAACATGCTTTGTCGTGCTTTAAAGAAGTACACTTATTTTGATGTGTTGACTAACATAATAACATGTAAAGTACTTGATTATAATTTTAAATGTATTCAATATTACATTTAAAGTTAATATACTTTGAAAGTACTAAATTTCAACTTCATCATTAGAAATAATTGTAATATACATTTAAAAATATATTTAAATACATGACATACAAGTTTAAATAGAAATGACATTAAAGTATATTTTAGTTTTCCATAATGCTTCTCAGTACATTAGGAAGTACACTTTAACCACATTTCAAAGACAATAGAAGTAATTTTGAAATGAGATATATAGATGTACTTAAGTCCTACATAGGTAGTCAAAAAAGTCCTACATGTATATAGGTAGATTAAAAATAAAAATAAAACTTCAGTTCAACTAACTGCATTTAATATGAATTTATTCTATAGTAAATTTTCTTTTAAATTCAATTCTTCGTCACAAGGAAAAGTATGGAAACTTTTAATCTCTTTTCTGTACTTGACATTTTG